GGAGCTGTCTGGTGTGAGGAAAGGATCAGGACGACTCAGGGGCTCTGCCCGCTTGCAATTCCTACTTGGGTTCTGAGATGTGGAAAACTAGACAAAACCTAAGTTTGTTAAAACTTGAGTTTAATTTTTTCCATTTTAAACTTGAGATGTAGTTCGGATAAACAAGTAGAGACGTCGCGCAGACAGTTGAATATTAGAGTGGGGAGCTCGAGAGAAGTCAGGGCTGGAGAAGTTAGATGGTAAACTGTCAGCATCGAGTCAGGCAGCTGAGAGCTGGGACCCTCTGGAAGGATCCGTGCGGGTCAGAGGGAGCCCAGCTGAACCAGGGGGGCGGGTGGGAGGGTGCAGAAAGGGAAGCTGAAGGGGAAACCCCCCTGGAAGCTGCAGGCGGAAAGCGGCCTCAGGAGAGTTCACCTCAAGCTGCCAAGGGTCAGACCAGTGGTTCTCAACCTTCTGGCCCTTTAAATACAGTTCCTCATGTTGTGACCCAACCATAAAATTATTTTCGTTGCTACTTCATAACTGTAATGTGGCTACTGTTATGAATCGTAATGTAAATATCTGATATGCAGGACGGTCTTAGGCTAACCCTGTGAAAGGGTCGTTCGACCGCCAAAGGGGTCGCGACCCACAGGTTGAGAACCCCTGGGTCAGACGGTGCAGCTGATGTGTGTTCAGTGTCACCTGCATGGGCTCAGGTGAGGGACCAGGTGGGGGACCAGGTGGGGACGCGCTGCAGCATCCGGACACCTGTGGTTTCTGGTGACTGGTTCTGACCTGGAGCTGCATTTTGTGTGATGCTGGCATCATGTAAATTAATGGTTCCTTACATGTCTGCGTGAAAGTCCGCACCTGGCTGCATCTGCTGCCCTCGGGGACAGGGCCTTGCTGAGACTGCGACGCAGATGGGCTTCCATCTCCTGCCCCGTTGACTGAGCTCTGCAGGGCAGAGGCAGCAGGGAGAGGGGCAGCGTTTCCTCTCGGAGGCCTGCCCGCCCCGCACGCCCCAGTCCAGCCTGTGGCTTCCACAGTAAAGGCCAGTGTGGAGGCTCCTCTGGTGCGTGAAAGCTTTAGCCCCCTTCACCCTCTCATCTGTCATGTCATTCTGGTCACGTGGGCCCGAGCCTGCATGCCAGCCACAAGGGGCTGAGAGACATGTCCTCACTCTCCTGTTTCCAAGAAAACCGTCTTCAGTGAGACTGGTTACCCTCAGGCAGGCCGGCATCATCCGACCCAGTGGTCAGCCTGGGCGCACATGTGTGTGCATGTGTGTGCGTGTACCTCTAGTGACGGCATTAAGATGACAAAATTCATTCCACGAACGTTTGAGTGGCTCCTGTGTGCCAGGGACTGGGGGGTGGATGCATCAGTATCTAATACAAAAAGCACGGATTTCCTCCAGCCACACTCTAGGGAGGGTACAGAACAAACAAGTGAGCTGGACGCGCTGTGCCGTCAGGGTGCGGGACAGAACTGTGCAGAAATGTGCGCTTTACATACAGTGTGAAGGAGACTCACTGAGAGCTTTGACAAGACTTGGTTCAGCAAGTGCAG